TGATTTTGATTTAATGAAGTCAAATGATCAATTATTTCTTTCATGAATCATGCCTTTGGAATTTTATTTAAAAAGTCACTGCCATACCCAGGGTCATCTAGGTTTCCTTCTGTGTTCCCTTCTAGGAGCTTTATTGTTTTGCTTTAGATTCAGGACTGTGATCCATCCTAAGTCATTTCTTTTCTTTTGGGAAGGGTGTAAGATCTGTGTCTAGACTCACGTCTCCCATGTGGACGTCCAGTGGTTCCATCACCGGTGGAATGGACTCGTCGCTCCATTCTGTTGCCTTTGTTCCTGTGTCAGAGATCAGCAGGCCGCACTTATGTGGGTCTCTTTCTGGGCTTCTGCTCCGTTCCATTCGCCACTATCACAGTCTGCATCTCTGCAGTTCTGTAGTAAGTCTTGAGTTGAGTGGTGTCGGTCCTCTGACTTGACCTTGTCTTTCGATACTGAGTTGGCGATTCTGGATCTTTCGCCTTTCCATATAAATCGGTTTGTTCATATCCACAAAATAACTTGTGGGGATTTTTACTGAGATTGCAATAAATCTCTAGATCAATTGGGGAGGACTAACATCTTGGCAATATTGAGTTTTCCTACACATGAACATGGGACAGACAAACGCTGGGCCACACCAAGGAGAGTTTTCAAGACAATGAAGAGAAGCTAATCGATACTATAGACAATGAAGAGAAGCTAATCGATACTATAAACAAAGTCCAGAGAGCTAATCTATGAAAAATAAATGATTCTGAAGAAAAAATAATAATAAATGAAACTGAAGCAAAAATCCACAATATTGAGTTTTCCTACACATGAACATGGGACAGCTCTTCATTTCTTTAGGTTTCCTTACCAGAGTATTATAGTTTTCCTCATAAAGATCTTGTACATGTTTTGCTAGGTTTATACCCAAGTATTTCATTTTGGGAGGTGCTACTGTAAATGGTGTTTTTAATTTCAAATTCCACATGTTCATTGCTGGTATATAAGGAAATGATTAACTTTTGTCTATAACCTATATACTGCAACTTTGCTGTAATCATTTATTTGTTCCAGGAAGTGTTTTCTTTTTCAATTCTTTTAGATTATTTACATAGTTAATCATGTCTCATAATAGAAAAGACAGTTTTATTGCATCCTTTCTAATTTGCATACCTTCTAGTTCCAGTATGGTATCGAAAAGCATTGGTGACAGGGTCGTCTTTGCCTTGTTCCTGATCTTAGGAAAGCTTTGAAGGATAATGTCTCAGGGTACAGAATCCTAGTTTGGTGGTTTTTCCATTCTCAACACTTTAAACATTCCACTACACTTTCTTCTTGCTTGCATGTGTTTCGAGGAGCAGTTGGATATAATTGTTCGCTTTTTTATAAGACTTCCTCACCCACACACATAGCTTTTCTCAGGAATTTTTCTTTATTTTGGATTTTCTAAAGTTTTAATATGTTGTGGCTTAGTATAGGATTTGGGGCATTTATCTTGCTTGGTGTTCTATGAGCTTCCTGGTTCTGTAGTTTGGTATGTGGCATGAATATGGAGAAAATTCTCAGTCATTACTGCTTCGAATATTGCTTCTGTTCTCTCTCTTCTCCTTCTGCTACTCCGCTATGCACATGTTACACATAGCATAGGTGTCCACCGTTCTCAGAAATTCCTTCCCCTCCACCCCCAGTATTTTTTTCTTTTGGCTTTTCAGTTTCGGGAGATTGCATTGTCATACCCTCAAGTTCAGAGATTCTTTCTTCAGCTATGTCTAGTCTGATAAAAAGCCTATCATTCTGTTACAGTGTTTTTTATCTGTAACAATTCTTCATGATTTTTTTTTTTTCTTAGCATTCCCACCTGCCTGCTTACATTATCCATTTTTCTTTCATGGTGTGTACTTTTCTCATTAAAGCCCTCAGCATAGTAATCATAGTTTTGAAAAATCCCTGGTCTGAAAGTTCCAACATCTCTGTCATATCTGACTCTGGTTCTGATACTTGCTGTCTCTTCAAATTGTGCTTTTGTGCCTTTTAGTAGGCTTTGTCATTTTTTTGTTGAAATGTGGACAGGATGTCTTGGGTATAGGGATCTGTGGTAAAGAGGCTTTTAGTAATGTAGTGGTGAGGGGTGGGGAGGAAGGAAGCATTTTACAGCCCTGTGATGAGATCTCGGTCTTTTGGTAAAAGTCTGTTCCCCCGGACTGTAAACTTTACCAGTGTTTCTCACACCTCCCTAGGGGAGACAACTAGCTAGTCAGGGCTGAGCTGGGCAGTTCCCTTTCACAAACGACAAGAGTAATGCACACTTTTTTAAGAGGCAGAAGATGATCCGAAGTCCATAACCAAATCTTGCCATTACTGCACTTTTTATCCTGTTTCTTTGGTGACTAAGATTGCTTGAAGTCCTTCTAGAAGCTCTGATAGCAAGGAATTAAATGCTAGTTTGCTGGACAGAGCTTGTCCAACCCTGTGCATAAGAATCCTTAGGAAATTCTTCCTAATATGTCAACTGAATTCTCGACTCGGGCGATCCCCACCATCTAATACTACATTCCCCAGAAATGAAATATGAGAACGTACCCATCTGCACTCCTACATTACAATACACACACATTCAGTTCCATGGGTCCTTAGCAAAATTCTACCTCAATCACCCCAGACAACTTGGCTTGTTAAAAATGTTGTAGAATGACTTTCAGCTTTACTCTCATTATCGAGAGAGGTTTTCCCTTCATTCTAATGTAAATTCCCTTTGTTTCTGTTTGATAGTGGCAGGAAATTGGACCAAATAACCTCTTAAATGCATCTCAACTTCATGATTTCAAAATGTATAGTATCTTATCTGTATAAAATAGGTACTTTTGTTTCCCCCCGTGGGCCAGATTCTCTCAATTATTTCTGAGATTAAACTATGGAATCTGGGGGAAGCTCTAAATATGTGGGGGTTTTTGTATATACTTGTTTATTCTTCAACTATAGAAAAGTATTCTTCATGCCTAGTCAGCCCAGCCAGGCTAAGGTTATTTCCTTAAAATGTACATATAAATACTAAATATTAAACGCTGTCTTTTTATAATTACATATTAGCGAAGTCCCCAGTTTAATCATATAATTTTATTATTTATTATAGGACAGGAGAGAAAATGAGAGCAATTGCCTGGATAATGAACCTAACTTTTTTAAAAAGCATTCATGTGATGATAATAAGGTAATGACCATTATTTGGAATTTATATATCATTTGAGCTTAGTTTCATAGAAGCCTATATTTTTCTTATCTGTTAGATATTATATTTGATTATATTAACATTATTTTTTAGTTCTAACTAGACAATGACCGCTGATATATTAAGCTATACTATGGTCTTCTTTTATACTTTTATTTTACGAATAACCCTGTGCTTATTTGATAAGTATTATGATTTTATTTTAGCATTTCATTTTTTACTTAGAAAATATTAGAAGAACTGCTGAATTCAAAGACACACATATCTCTCACTTCTGACTTTTTTATGCTATAAAATGCTTGTTAGAGCGACCGCTTGCATACACACAAACGAGTTATGGGCATAATTTAGTTGTGAGCATTTCAAATTTTTTTCTTTCAATATTTGCTAATCTTCACGCCACTACCACTTCTAGTTGGTGTAATAATACAATTTACAAAACATCCGGCAAAATTTTGTGTCATTTCTTTCTAGAAAAACCTATGTGGCATTCGATATCTTTTTAAAAACTCATTAGAGCTGAATTAACCTCATGGCATCTAAGAGTATACCCATACATTTTTTTTAACTTCTTAAATATCTGAAAAACTTGTTTTAGGTGCAGACGACCCTTTCTTATTGCCAGCTAGTCACCCATAACTCAAAAGGTGCCAACGAAATAACAGTAAGAAAAAAATCACACATACCTTCTATTATTGTTGCTTCCCAGGAGACCTCTCCTTTGGTTATGTTGTCTAAAATTAAATAAACTTGTTACATGTTGACCCGTAAGTGATGAGATCACACATATATAACAAAGAAAGAGAATTTAAAAAGTCAGATAATCATTAAACCAAGTTCTAGGCACTTCAGGCTGTCACCTAGGAGCTAAACGGTTTTAGTCCAGTTACTTGTCAGTCACGTGATTAACTGGAACAGAAAGTTGGGGTGGGGGTGGGGTGTTCTTTAGCAACACAGTTCTCGCTTTAGGATCCTTAAGATTGCTTATCGTGTAATATTTTATTTAAACCACAGCCTTCTGATTTTTCTGTAATAGGAAGCTACGTTTTTAAAAAGTGCTGCTCGCAAGTTGAAGCAATTTCTTAAAATGAATATCCAGGAGGAATTCAAGCACCACTTAACAGTACTTTCACAGGGCACATTGAAACTGCTGAACTGCACCAGGAAGGTAAGCTGAAGACTGTTTACTTTGAACGAAAATATAAACTACTCCCGTGATAGGGTACTACCCTTCCCTGACGGTCATGTCCATTGTCATAGAATTCTATGTGATGAGAATTTAAAGTTGAAATACATTTATTCAACTCTGGGAGAGGAAAATCTCATCTTGGAAAGGACCTAGTCATCTCTTGGCTAGGGCAAATTAATAGTTTATAAAAGAGGGAAGATAATAAATGAATGCCTACTTTATTGCCATAATAACTTTCAAAGAGAGAAGTGTGATAAGTTGATAAGTTGGGTAGGGAATGGTAAATCTTTATCTCTGAAACTCATTAGTAATTTATAAATCCATATATGCTTACATTTATAAGAACTCATAGCCAATGAAACAGGTAATCAAATGTATTCAAAAAATATCTTTATATGTTAAAACTGGACATATCTATGTCTGACAATTTTCTGTTCTTTTGCTCTAATAATTTTGATAAGTATAGGGCTAATTTTCCCCTGATTCTCTGCTAGTGTTTATTAAATAACAAAGCAGAGTTTGGAAGGCATTATCTTGAGACTAGACAACAGTTTCTTCATCTACAAACTGGAGGAAAAATATAGTATCTATGGCATAATTCATGGAAAGTGCTTAGTATCAAAAGGTTTCGATAAATGCTATATTGTTATTATTACTATTACACCCTGTCCATGAATTTTACCAACTGCCACACAAAGCCAAAAGGTTTCTTGTTTTTTTAAAGAAATTTTTAGTGATAGAAATTTTTACGACAGAAAAAGGGCAGTGTGTGTGTTCATTTTGCAATCCCAGTAGTTGCCCACCGAACGCCAAGTGATCAGACTATGTCTGAGCCCCGCTGACCGCGCCAGCAAGGAAGGGGGCAGAAGTGCCCACCCCCTCACTTGTCACGCCGTCTCCTCGATGCCAGCCAGCCTCCTCTTGGTGTCCTGGATCTGCCAAGCGCATTCCCCGTTTGTCCCCTCGCTTACTGCTCTCTTTCTATAAATCCGATCTGTCCTGTTCTCTGCATCCTACAAGGCCAAGCTCAAGATTCATGAAGATTTCAAAGTCTAGCCGAGCGGCTCTTAATCCTCATTTACAGTGGTTTTGAAATCCTGTCCGGCAGGAATGGCAGCTGGGTTTTATGTTGCTTATACGTGCAGTTGCTTAGTAGTGACCGTTGGAAACACAGTGTTGAGTGGAAGCCTCAAGTCAGGGCTCACCTGAAAAGTCTGCAGGACAGACTAGCGATGTCACCTCTTGGCCCAGGATGGGGAAAGGGTTATAGGCATGCTCTATATTTGCGCTTTCTCCTCTCACGTGTTGGGCTTCCCATGGATCACCATGTTCCAAAATCGACTAACTGTAGAGAGCGAAAACACAGGTAATTTATTCTCGAAATTAAATAAAATTATGTTATAAAATTAACTAACCTGATGCGGTCCACCTTTTTCTTGAAATGACTGGGTAAGATGCTAAAGATGGTGAAGCACACTGAATTTTCTTCATGTGTCAAGCGTGTCACAGGCTTTTACAGTTGTTTATTTCATTTGGCTTCTGATGGGTAAAGCATGATAAAATTTATGGTCAGGATTTAACAATTTAACGATGGCTTAATTTTCATATTGATTAAAATTCTAGTTTTGTCCGTTTCAGTACGCTTCTCTACTAGTTTCTCATACTTCACAGACATTAACGCCATGCTGGGCATTAACGCCGTGCAGACTTACAGATCCGGGGTATTCAGAAGACTGACTCTCTGGCTTCTTCATTTTCCCTGATACAGGCATACCTCAAAGATATTGTGGGTTGGGCTCCAGACCACCAAAATATAGAGTGAATGTCACAATAAGGCGAGACTCGTGACTATTTTGGTTTCCTAGTGCAAATAAGTTATGTTTACCCTATGCTATAGTCCATTGAGTATGCAATAGCATGTCCAAAAAAAATCACTGTCTATGCGGCTATAGCCGTCTGTAGTAAATTTCTTAAATAATAAGACTTGCGAGTTGAAGTTACTCTTTGACCCATGAGCTGCAGAATGGACACTGTGTTCGCAGGCATGAGAACAACTTTCATCCATCCCATTGTCCATCTCCATCAAGGCTCCTGGGTGACCAGGTGCCTTGCCAAATCAGCAGCAATAATTTAAAAGGGATCTTTTTTTTCCTGAGCAGTGGGTCTCAACAGTGGGCTTAAAATACTCAGAAAACCACGGTGTTAACAGATGCGCCATTGCCTAGGTGTTGCTGTTCCATTTAGGGAGCATGGGCAGAGAAGATCTAGCATAATTCTTAAGGGCCCTAGGATTTTCTCGATGGTAACAGAGCACTGGCTTCAACTTAAAGTCACTCGTCGCATCAGCCCCTAGCAGGAGGTTGGCTTCTGGCTTCTCTCCTGTGGCCTCCTCGCCTCTCAGCCTTCACAGAGCGGGAGACAGCCAGGGCCTCGCTTTGGGTTAGGCTTTGGCTAAGGGAGTGTCGGGCTGGTCTTACCTACTGAGACCACTAAAACGCCCTCCACATCAGCTACAAGGCCATTTTACTTTCTTGTCACCATGTGTTCACTGGAGTGGCACTTTCAATTCCCTTCGAGAACTTTTCCTTTGCTTTCACAATTTGCCTGTTTGGCGCAAGAGGCCTAGCTTTCGGCCTGTCTCGGCTTTCGACACGTCCCATCACCAAGCTTAGTCGTTTCCAGCTTTTGACTTAAAGTGAGATACAACTCTGCCTCACTGAACACACAGAGGCAGCTGCAGGGCAGTTAACTGGGGAGACCGAGGAAGGGAAGAGGGCTGGGGATGCTGGTCTGGGGGGCAGTCGACACGCGCCACGCTTATCAATTACACGCACTGTCTTGTACGTGTGCAGTTGTGGCACCCCAAAACAACTATGATAGTAACATCAAAGATCACTGGTCACATATCACCATAAAGACAGAACAGTAATGGAAAATTTGAAATATTGAGAGAGTTACCAAAATGTGACACAGAGATACGACGCTAACAAACACTGGAGAACTGTGGGCGCTGACAGATGTGCTCAATGCAGCGTCGCCACGAACCTTTATTTGTAAAAAACCCGCAGGAGGCCTGTGAAGCGTTTTATAAAGCGAAGCACAAGCGAAGCACAATAAAACGAGGTATGCCTGTATTCCATTTCTAAATAGAATTAGTATTCTGCCATACTAACAATCAATAATCTAAAGTAGATTCTTAAACAGATCAGATGAGCTGAGAGTAATATGCAAATTAACAGTTATATTAATGAAAGGAGTGATAAAAATTAATAATCAATGTTGTAAATGTAACTTTGTTTTTAAGGAAAAAGAAAAAAAACAACCTTCCTTGGGTGAAGCCCAACCCACTAAGAATTTGGTGAGAATAACTGTATAATATTCTTTCTTTATCAGCTTTTTACTCAACTTAATTCCTTAATGTTTCTCTTTGAATTTTCTTTCTTATGGTTGGTTTTGAAAATACTCATTATAATGTTAATAAAAAGAGTAAGGCAGTATTCCTTAGAAATTAGATCCCCTTAAACTGCTTTTTCAAAAAAATCCACTGTTTTTAAATAAAAGAAGCTAGGGGATATATCAGAGCACTGATTTTTTTAAAAAAGCAACTGAATTGAAACATTGCTAGGTAATAGGCAAAAGACATAAATAAACTATATAGAAGAAAATAAACTAGAAAAGAAGCATATGGAGAAAAAAAGCCATCCTTGTTAGGTAGTAAAGAAATGCAAATTAAAAATGGGAATCCATATATATACTATATATACTATATATCATGTCTCATGTATAACAGTACATGAATATTCTATATTTATGTTTACACATACTATTAGGTATCATTGTATACAATTATACAGCAATACAGAATATATTTATGAATGTAAAACAGACTATCTAAATTTGATTAAACGTTAAAACGATATAAATATTAATTAGGATGGGACATGTAAAAATGAACACACCTGGTCCACAAGAGTGCTGGGGTCTTCTTTCACGTTTCCATTCCTGTCACAATGTCATCTGACCAGGAGATACATGGGACCGTGGAAATTCCTTACTCTTCTTAGAGCAAGAAGCAGGGCGAGTGGGACTCAGGAAACCTAAGAATTCCGCCTGAAACAGAGAAGTTAAAATGAATACATGAGTCATATAAATACATTGAGAGCTTCTGGCTAAGAAAATTTGGAAAGTTTTAAAAAAGCAGGTAATACTTTTGCTCCCAGAGGTGAAATCACAGTTCTTTGTTTTTGTCTTTTTAATGAATGTTCAATCTTGGTCTCAGAGAAAAGTCATTAAATTTTCACATTTATATATTTAAAATCTGCTTAGTGACATAAACCTCAATGTGCACTTTTTAAATATGTCCTGGGACGCTCGTTAAAAAAAAAAAAGAGAAATCCTCCTTTATATTTATCTTTGAAATTTGTTGTCTGATCTTTTAAATGGATTACGTAAAAGCTATGTGTTAGTGTTACTGAATGTATAACTAACAGAGATCCAAATTTGTGACTAAACTAAAAATAGGACAGACGGGCTCACGACGCAGTCACTGCACTTACAGCTTGTCCATTTTGCGGCTCCGTTTCCTCGTCTGTGAAAAGAGACAAAGCCATCCATTTCATAAGGTTTTTTTTTGCAGATAAAATGAAACAATGTATGGAAAGCACTGAGCACCATACCTGGCCAATAACTGCTTATCTGAACGAAGAATGACCCCACCCCATACTCGCCCCACTTTCCAGGGGCTCACAGGACTATAACTGAGTCTATGCAGAGCCGTACCCCCATATGTCTGTCCCATGTTTGGAATCTTTTCCACTCCGTAGGCTGTACAGGTATCACTTTTTAAGGTTCTTGTCAGGAACTGAAAACTAGCTTCTAGGGCAGGTGTCCTCCACACTCTCGTGATGACCAGACTGTTGGGGTGACCCTTGGGGCACAGTGAAGTCAGGTGGATCCTTATTAACCTTCTTTGCCAAAATACTCTGGATATTTTCAGTGTTAACTAGTCCTTCTACAAAAGATACATTTTTTTTCCATGTTAAAAAACTTAATCGAGTAATCTAGAAATATCTTTCTCACGAAAGTTTAAACAGCGTTTTTATGTCCACTACTGCAGTAGTGAAAATGGCAGCCACCTGACATAGCTCTATAATGAATTTTAAATCTTAAACCACAACGACCTTGAAGTTCCTATACATCAATTATCAACTATCGTTAGAAGTCCTAGTTTGAAAATATCATGCAAAATTCTCTTTTCCATTACATCCAATTTTCAGTATAAACTCACAGGATGGTAATGAAAGGTTGATTATTTTAAAATGTGTACTTTTATAAAAATGTGAGCTTAAAACTTTTTTTTTATATATTTCTGTAGGAAGAGAAAAAATCTTTAAAGGAACAGAAAAAACTGGATGAAATGTGTTTCCTAAAGATACTACTAGAAAAGATAAAAACCTGTTGGAATAAAATTCTGAGTGGCACTAAAGAGCATTGAAAGCTATGGAGGGACAATATAAGAACATGTGAACTCTAGGTGTATCCTTCAAGAATCTACGTGCTCACGCAATTTTTGGGAGTGGAATGCCTCCTAGAAGTTTCTGAATGTATCCCGGTAAAAACGGATGAGAGCAATTGAGAAATAAATACTGTGGTACTAGAAGATGGGCATGAACGGTGGAAACCGGACTATCAGCGGACTATTTCACGTGGATGTGGATATGTATCAGCTGGTGTCAGTTTTATAAGACAATGTAAGGTATTAGTTGCAATAACACCTTTTAAACCTGTTAAGGAATTCCGGAAGGAGACATAAAATCTGTGAAGTATATAAAGGTTCCGAGGATTAAAAATTAACATTGCTTTATTATCAAAATAATTTTATGACCCACTCTGCAAGAGTATACTGCATTGAGAGTGGAAATTGTCTTCTGTGCTGGAAATGTTTCACAGTTAACAGTGAGATGTGGGTAATACCCAGGCGAACAAGAATCATACGTCTTAAAGCTGCAGCATAAAGGAGTCCATAGAGAGGTATCAGGAGATGTAATTAACTATGAATGCATAGCGTGGTGCCTCCAATAAATGGCATAGCAGATATTTTAAAATGAAAATAAAGAATCATTTCACAAAAGTCACCTGTTCTAAGGATGCTAAACTGCAGTACTGATTTTCTTTTGTCATGTCTGTATAATAAAACTAGTCTAAATGAGTTTGCAATTTGGGAAGTATATTTTTAAGAGAATAATATATGTTGGCCTTTTAATGAATGGAATGTGTATATTTAATTCTGACACTATATCTGTATATAAAAATATTTTCATACAGTATTACAGACAAATTGCTTACTTTGGATAATGTTTCTCCTTTGATAATAAACGACCTATGTATTAACATTGTCAGATTCACTTAACACATCTCAACAGGGTTTTTTTCCAGATTTATTAGGACATAATTGACATGCGTCACTGTATAGTTTAAGGCATACAACATGATGGTTTGATTTACATATATTATGAAATGATTACCACATTAGGTTCAGCTCACATCCACCTTCTCATATAATAAAAAGAAAAAGGCAAAAAAGTTTCTCCTTGCGATGAGAACTTGATGGATTTGCTCTGAACAACAACTTCCCTGTGTATCACACAGCAGAGTCAGCGGTAGCCATGTTGCAAGTCACGTACCCAGGACTTACTTATCTTATGACTGAAGTGTATACCCTTAGAACACCTTCCCCCAACCCCCCACCCCTCCTACCCTCGTGTCTAGTGACCGGTCCGATTTATTTTTTTTAGATTCCACATATGAGATCATACAGTATTTCTCTTTCTCCATCTTATTTCACTTAGCATAATGCCTTCAGGGTCCATCTGTGTTGTCACAAATGTATCCTCATTTTTCGTGGCTGAGTAATATTCCGTTGTTTATGTCTACCACAACTTTATCCATTTATCCTCAATGGACATTTAAATTGCTTCCATGTCTTGGCCGATGTAAATAATGCTGCTATGAGCATGAAGGTGAAAACATCTTTTTGAATTAGTGCTTTTTATTTTTTCCTTTGAATATATTCCTAGAAGTGGTATTGCTGGATCGTAAGGGAGTTCTGTTTTTAATTTTTTAAGGATCCTCCGCACTGTTTTCTACAGTGGCTGTCCCAGTTTACAATCCCGCCAACAATTACACGAGGGTTCCCTTCTCTCCACATCCTCACCAGCACTTGTTATGGCATCTTTTCGATGATGGCCATTAATAGGCATGAAGAAATACCTCACCGTCGTTTTAATTTGTATTTCCCTAATGACTAGTGATCCAACAGGATTTTTTAAGACACGATTTTTAATACTGTGCCACAATCTGATCCTTCACTGAACATAAAATCAAGAAGGTACACGAGACCCATCATAGTGCTACTACATGTGCTCGCATAGATATTTTTCCATATTTGTGATCAGTCCCTCAAGAAGTACATCTTATAAATAAAATCACTGGGTTATTAGGCGTGAATATTTTAAAGGCTTTAAAAATAAACATAGCCAACTTTTGAAAAAGGTATTATCCATTTCTATTTCTACCGTCAGCGGATAAGGTCATTCATCTTAACGCCCCATAGCTGTATTCAGTTTTATTATAATTTAAGATTGCTGATTTGATGAATAAAATCAGCATTTCCTTGAGCACGCTCACCACCACTCAGCACGACTGGCAACACGCTAGTCCCAGTGCATCCCAAGAAAGTCAACAGAGGCACAGAAACTGAGGCTCTTGGGCAGAGAGAGAGGACAGAGAAGGTGCAGAGAGCACTGTAAGAGAAGATGGAGCAATGGGATTAACAGTAACTTACCCGATGCCGCTGTTGCTGGGTCATCGAGACAGTCGAAGCGGCCACATTTCACAGCCACACCGCGCAGACTCCCTTGCCTTTCCCCCATGGACGGTAGTGCAGTCGTCATTCACCTCCTTCCAGACTCCCTCCTAAGCACCGAGACGGAGAAGACAAATAGGAAATAGAAAACGGTCAGCCGTAGAGCTCGTGATAAGAAAGAAGCGCCATTTTCGATACTTCTATGGCATTTTGTGGGTTCCTTTATAATAAAGTTCTATTAAAAGAAATCCTTCTTTCTGTCCTATGTTGTAATCATCTGTTTACATATCAGCTTCTCCAAATAAATTATATCCACTTTCGGGCAGAATCTTAATCGCCTCTTATTTCTCTGGATTCTTAGCACTTCACGGAACGGAGGCCATATAAAACATATTTTAAATGCTAAGTATAAAGTTTTAGCTTTGTGCATCTTACATTAGTTGGTCTAACCACTTAACTTCTGTTTAAATAGATGTCACTCTCATATTAAGCTAGTCTGGATGATCGAAAACAAAAATCCTTATCTTAAAAGATTATCTGTTGTATGACTAAGGTGAAATACTAAAGTACAAGAGTATTTGGTAATATGCATGAGTAATATGTGAGATATATAATTTTGCTAACAAATTATTGAGGTAAATATTCAATATTTCTATCAGTTCTGAGCACGCTGGTGCCCAAAATGAGCTAGACTAGGTTCCTAAGAAATCAGCATATGGGTTATTAAAATCACAGCAACAAAAAACTACCTCTTATAAATCTTTGAAATTACGTTTTCAAAAAAAAAAAAAAAAAAAAAAAAAAAAAAATCATGCCTATATTTCCGAGAGGGCTTTAAAATAAGATGGTGAGAATATTATCCAAAAACACCCCCTAGTGGTAAGAAAGAAATTCACATATAAGCCAAGCTGGATGGTATATAATTGAGTATTCTGACAATAATATTTAACTGAAAAATTTTAAATGAGACTAAAAATGAGTGTGGCTATCATAAACTTTGTTCTAATGATCCTCTACTGCTCTATTAGCTAATATAGTCAGTTGGAAAAATCATCCTATTAGTACTCAAAATATACTTACTGTATAAAATACATGTACCTGCAGGGTAAATAGACACAAGACCTCTGCTGACTGTGTAGCTGTGTACTCAAAATACACTTATTGTATAAAATACATGTACCTGCAGTGTAAATAGACTCAAGAGCTCTGCTGACTCTGTGTAGCTGTGTACTCAAAATACACTTATTGTATAAAATACATGTACCTGCAGTGTAAACAGACTCAAGAGCTCTGCTGACTCTGTGTAGCTGTGAACTCAAAACACACTTATTGTATAAAATACATGTACCTGCAGTGCAGACAGACACGAGAGCTCTGCTGACTCTGTGTCTCATGGTAGTATTCACCTCTAGCCTAAGGAACATGGAGCAAAAGTTAAACATGTCTAATCTTACCATATTCTCACGAGATAACTCCTGTTGAAAATTTTATACATGATGGTCTAAATCATTAATTGTTCAGCAAAAATGCTTTTTGTCATTAAACTGTATATTATCTAATTAGAAATATCCATGTTTCTTATAAACCTGGAATTCACTAATGTTTTCAATTGCTAAATTTTATTGGCTATGAAGAGAATGTTTCTATGTCTTAAGAATCTAGTGAAAAAACATTTATAATACTTTGAGGTCAAAAACAAATAAAAAGGTAATCGTTTCTTGAACAGCTGATGGCACGAAAAGTCAAAAAGATCTCTCTTATTTAAAAAAATCTGTATTTTGACTTCAAATATTTTCTTTATATTTCTGTGTATTCCTATTTTTCTACTATGTCTGGCTAAAAGACATCAATGAAAACCAACTAGCACTTTTTTGTTTCATGTCTTTATTGAATAGGTTCAAAAAGGAAGACATTATTTATAATAAAAAAAACAGAGTGAACAAGACAACAGCAGTCATAATAACCTTATTTTTTCCAAGCTTAACTTTCAGAATAATATATAAGCAGTTTTTACATTTTAATTTATGCTTACAATCTTTTAAAAATTCTACCACACTGGCAAATACTCGTGAAAATAAATAAAAATAAATGATGCATAGATTTTGGAAAATATCTTAAAATTTGAACTATTGCACAACAAATCAATGTGAGAATATATGCAAGTAATATAAAAAATGCATTTCAATACATTGTCATAACATGTTTCATAATTCATGAATATATTTTACCTACTTACTATTTATAATAATCTCTGTATTGTCGAATTGGATGATTTTTTTAATGAATTCATTTTCCATGTAGTACATTATAACATTTGCTTGCTACTATAAAATTCAGTGAGAATCATACGTGCCACTTTCTTTAAGCTCATTTATCTACCCTTTCCTCGGGCAGACAAAAAGTTACGTGATCTTAAAAAACACGTGAAAGAAAACAGTAAAACAAAAGTTCTTCATGTGATTTATAACAATTAGGACAGAACATAAATTATTGAAATGGAACACTAATTGTACATTATCCTCCTAAATTTATTATAGCTTATTCTAGTTGATAGACTCCTATTTTTTCTTTTGACCAATATGACTGAATAAAAACCACTAGAAAAAAAGATTAATAAAAAGCCAGGATAGAAACTGCAATGTAAATAAAAGAACAATTCCCATTACCATTAAGTTTCTATCCCCTGCCTAAATGAAAAAATAAAACAAATGAATAAAATTATAAAGTATAAGCATAAATGAATTTCAAAGAAAATATAAGCCACAAATTTCTACGTTGATCCTTGCAGTTGATCGGAATCACAAACGAGAAGCTAGAAATTGCCTATGACAGATCTGCTCGTACCTTTATAATGAGATCGAAGCTGTTAGGTATGATTCAACAGAAACGACTACTGAATCACTAAATATGGCTACACAAGCAACAAGATTTAATACTAAATATTAGGTTATACTGAGTGTGACAATGATTAAAAACTGTGTTTTAGCCAAAGCTAAAGAGAGAGTATAATTAAACTGTTGTGAATGTTTAAGTACATAATAAGTCAGGTATGCATTAAAGCAAGGCATTTTCAGTGGCTTTTTATTGTGACGTAAATGGTGTTTCAACATTAAAAACTAAAAAGAAAATACGAGTAGGAGAAATCAGATATTCTCTTAATGTACTCTTAACTACATCTGACTATACTTCAAAGGACTAAAATTCGAATCCTTTTACCTCCGTGCCCTGCAGTAATGATTATTTATCAAAATTATTATTAGGTAAGGTGGTTTGTTTTAAAATCCAATAAAATACTTTATTCTACATTCGGATACATAGAAATAAACATGGAAGGTTTTGAAGGAAATTTTCATATCTTATATTAAATAATTATATTTTCAAGCTTTGCAAAAAATGAACTAGTAAATTAAAATTATTCTACACATGAGGTTATAGAAAAGAAGGAAAAAACTGAAATTCGAAGATGCAGTTGGAAGTAAAAAGAATATCCTTTCAAATAATACAGAGGTAAAAAAAATCATTCAATTATAACTAGAATGGGATACATTTGTATTATCAGCCTGCGCCTCTGAAAAGGAAATTGCATAATCACATCTTCAGATAATGAGTAAAGATATTTAAATATGAGGTTATAGAAAAGAAGGAAAAAACTGAAATTCGAAGATGCAGTTGGAAGTAAAAAGAATATCCTTTCAAATAATACAGAGGTAAAAAAAATCATTCAATTATAACTAGAATGGGATACATTTGTATTATCAGCCTGCGCCTCTGAAAAGGAAATTGCATAATCACATCTTCAGATAATGAGTAAAGATATTTAAATTATATAATTAATCACACACTAAGTAAAGGGTAACACAGACCTCAGGGTTTTTTTTTTTTTAATATTTAAAAAATTAGTTGTTGAAGAGCTAGACATGAAAATGACCTCACATAACTAATTGTAACTAAAAATATTCTCTTCCATTCCAAAATTCCGAGCATCCCACGTACTAAGATACACACTGTCTGAAAACAGGCACAAATAATGAAAATGTTTATTCTGATTTTTTGCTCAAAGTAACATTGACCCTAAAGCATGAAGGGCTGAGCACTAGGGTTTGCGGGTTTGGAGACGTTTACTTAATGTGCTTTAACAACAACGGCACAGAAGAAACACCTACGTGAACGACGTCCTTGCGATCATCTTGACAGGTGAGTGACGCGCCCCGCGGCGGCACTGTGTGGGTATCGGTGTTTACTATATACAGTCTATGTACATATACACGCACGCACGTTACATGGCCAAAGGATTATGCTCCAAAAACGGCTGAAAAAAGTGTTTTGAACAATTTTAGCACAAAATAGCTAGCGGCGGCGCGGGAGCTAGAAGCAGCAAGGGCCACCGCGCCGTGGACTTAGCTGTCCCTCCCGGGTTCCATCACAGGACCATTCTCCGGACGCCGCACTCACAGCAGAACTTGGCCCAGTCCACGGGGAACTTGGTCCCGCACTCGTGGCAGAACTTTGGTAAGTGTCCCGAAGAGCTCCCTTCAAGGCCTTTCACGTTTCCGCCATTGAGTGCTGACACGAAGTCGCCATCTGGCCTGCAGAGGTAAGAGAGGGGAAGAGCGAAGGTCACGTCAGTTGTTTTTGGCCCAGAACTGGGGAAAACGGCATCATAGCAAGTAGAAAAGCTTGCTCGATCTCGCTCTGAATATTCTTCTAGTTCAGATAAAGAAAAAGAATCTCTTTTAGTAAATACTGAAATTCCAAACGTCTTATTTGGCATTCTATTTATCCCTAGGCAATGTCTTTAAATCGATCCTCTGGTTCCCGTCTGTGTCTGATCTACAGTGTCGATGACTTCGGAGTGGGGGGCGCTTGCGTTGGTTTTCTGCTGCCTCTCACTCAGGATTCTCCGTGCAGTTTGGAACCTCCACGTCTGCCTCGGAGGTCAGAATCGCGAGCTCGTGTCTGCTCATCAGCGGTGAGAACGAGGGAGGCGGGTTACGAGCGATTCACGCTGGACAGCGTGGCTCCCAGGGAACCACTGCGCTGAGGCGGCCGCAGAGATCTTTCCGGCGAAGAATTTCTTAGAATACGCAGATATGGCACCTTTGACCCTTCCACCCATGCGAGGGCAGGCTCATGGCTGTGCATGACCTGGCACGCTCACACTCTCAGCCACAGCTGAGACACGACTTCCCACGGGGTCGCCACTTCCTGGCTGGCGGGATGGTTTTTTTCCTAATCCATCTTTGCACTGAGACCCATTTGTTGACAAAACTCTTTTGACCTTGAAACAACTTCCTGGCTGTTTAAGGAAAATCTTATAAAAAGGTGGAATGCCAGCTGTTTTTCCAGGTGACAGTGTGCACACAGAATCCACTGGACCTGACCATGGCCCCCAGGACAGCCTGGACGCTATGGGCATGGGACTGTTATAAGAGATCCTGGCTCCCTCGGAGACACAGAATTTCTAATCAAACTGTCCCTACACTCACCTACGAGAGCTTGTTCTCTGCCACCCAACGTGTCGCCTAGTCATCCAGAGAGGACGAGTGCCAGGGCTGCTGCGAGCCCCCACGGAAGAGAAACAGCCGAGGCTGCCCAGCTGTCACTCTGTATTTCCTGTAAATAACTCCAAGGCCAAATGTAACGATGTCACCTGAGTAGTGCAGAATGGCCCCTCGGCGGGCTTTACAAGAGCCTCGGCTTAGGGCAGGAGTCGTGGGGGAGGGGAGGGACAGCTGGGTTTCTAACGCTCCACTCTGCATCAGTCCAAGAAGTCAACTCTTCTCCTACAAGACATGGGCACCCAAGCCTCCCAGTGGTGGCGATGAGTCACAGCCAGGACGTACTTCCGTCCTGTGGCAGCTCCCCTCACTTTTCTGAGAGCCAAGTACCTTTACGTACCTCGCCTTAAAACTGTCTGGAACACTCTGTGGACTAACTTCACTCTTTTTTCGCTATTATCTTTTAATTCTCATTTTTCCTCTTCTATTTTTTCATTAAAAAAAAATATTGTATCTCACTGCACATCATGAATTTACGTACCTTGCCTTAAAACTTCCCAGAATAAGTCGGGATAGATATAAAAAATAAATATCTGTAACTGGGACAATTTCATTATATGCTTAAAAACAGAGTGAATGTCAAAGTTATACGAATATTGTGACAGATTAGACAGGGAAGCACATGGATAATCACAACCTCAGCGGAGGAATTTAAAGGAGTTTAAACGTATTAAAATGCTGCTGAAAATTATAAGAGCAGTGGATTAGGGTCGACAGTTCAACTTGTCGAGGTAAAAATAACCATGTTGCAGTTAAAAGCGAAGACACAAAAGACACAAATGCTAGAACTAAACAAACTATCCTGCAGAATTTATAACAATAACTACAAGATATAGAAAAAATATTATTCATGTACCAACTATTTCTTTAGCATACAACTTAAAACCAGATTAAATCAGATGGCAAAAGAAAAATCAGATTTTGTATAAAAGCCTGGTACATAGTCATGTATAGAGTTCTTGGAAAACTACATACATTCGTTATTGCTTATTAAAATATCAGAATGAAACGTACTTGGCCATGTAGCTCTCAGCGTGTGTTTTTCTCTTGCTTGTAAGAACAGCTGAGACGGGATTTCGTGCCAAACTAGGTGGTGTGGAGTTTCGAGGTCTGATGTTAGCTCTAGAAGAGAGAAGGGGTGATAATGAAAAAGTACTGAATATTAATCATTTATTTCCCAACTGCTTATTTGCATGATTAGAAAAAGAATTAGAAGCTGTAGATAGGTAAAGTCAAAAGATTAAAATCCAAATAATTATTTTGAATCTGAAAACAACAGCAGTTAATACTAAAGTAAACCACAGCATTTGCATTTACTAACATTATCTCGATGGTATAAAAAAATCAACTAAAATAAGTATGTATGCTTTATACAAAATCTGTAAGTTAATCATTCCGAAAACCTTCAAGTTTTTTAGTTTATTAAACCTCTATGACTTAAATAATATGTTATAAACATATGAGATGTAGTAAAAAAAATTAGCTAGCCACTTTAGAGGATAATATTCAATTTATGAGAGTCTGTTCTAAGAAACAGCAACTAGAATAAAGATTTAATTTCCCCAACTACACAGCTGGGGCTCTCTGCTGTCAGTAGTGGAAGGGTATGGCTGGCTCATCAGTAAATTCTCTTTTGGAAACTTCTGGAATCAAAGACAACTTAGAAGGGTGTGTGAAGGCATAACGGTGAAAGCGGAGGCTTTGGGATTCTCATGAATCTGTATTAAATCCCAACTGCTACTGATCGACTTTGTGATGGCGGTCGACCTCTCTGAGCCCAAGTTCTGTCATGTATGAAATGTCATTTATTTTACCGGAAGTTACGAGATATGAACTGCAATTTATCTGAGCATTGAGCAGAGCTGCGGACGATAATGCTATCACTACTACACAGGGCTACTGATAACACTGTACTGCCGCCTGTTAACGTTCCGTCATGGCGCTCTCTGCATTCGGTACGGCCATGCCTCTAACTGCCTCCGCAGAGACTCCTTTAACCCTCCTATTAGCCCCATGCAGTAGGCAGAACGACTCCACCGTACGAATGAGGCAAGTGAGGCAA